TTAAGTCATTGATATTGGAAAAAAAATTATTATCCATTTGTTCAGCAAATAAAATAAAAGTATTTAACCTGTTTAATACTTCATAAGCAGAAATTTTTGGTGGCTCATCATCCGAATCATCTGGATCACCTTGCTGACGTTCTAATTGATCCGCTAATACAGTTTCAACAATTTGGTTATCATCAAGTATTTCCTCCGTAGGAATATAAGTACTATTAGTTTCTTGGTAAGATTTTTATTTCTTGTGAAACCGTTGGATCAGTAAGATCAATTACTAATTCACTTATTTCGCTTTTTTCATATTCAATTGCTTCTAAATATGTATTTTGCGCAAGTTCAACATCGTTATTCGACAATGATGGCAAAATGCCTGGCTTTGTCCAACAATTTACTATTGTCGATTCATTCACTTCATTTCATGAAGCCGCTACATAATCGATAGCTTTCTTAATAGTTAATTTATTGCTGACAAAAAAAAAAAAATAAAAATAAAAATAAAAAAAAATTCAGTATTTAATTTTGAGGCGAATCTATTTGCCACTGGCGGTTATGGTTCTAAGCCAATCAGAGTACACGATTAAAAAAACCAAAAAAAAATTTCAAATTAAGACAATTCAAAATTATGCCTATAAAATTGGCTTTTGTACAGGGTTGGGTAAATTTTGTAAGTTACATTTAACTTATATAATAACATATAATTTTGTAAATTTACACTAAGGTACTTATTATAACTTACATGTAACTTACATCAAAAATTTAAAACTTACACAACATACCCAACCCTACTTTTGTATTTTAACAAAAAATATTTCTTGCATAATTTTCCTATATATTGTGATCTTTCTAACCCTAAAAACAACTTTAAATAAAATCTGTGTACTGTCACTGCTGGTGACAAATAGATTATTTTATAATTTTAAATATGCAATAAAATTTACTTAGGATCTCGAATATCTAGTCCTCTGTCAAACTGATCCAGAATATGTTGAATATATTTTTTTTGATATTTTGCCTTGAAGCATTTAATAATTCTCGCATCCATAGGTTGAAGATGCGAAGTAGTTAAAGCGGGCAAAAATTTAACTTGAATATTTGTTGGTTTATAATTAGACAAATCAGAAAGTGCATAAACACTTGCTCGACCTCTATCACGCTTGCCTTTGCTATGTTGAACAGTACAACTTTGTTTGTTACTTGAAGTGGTATTGCTTGATTTTGGGCGACCACGGCTGCGACCACAGCTGCGGCCACGACTGTGACCACAACTGAAACCACTTCTATTCCTATGGCTATTTGATCCAGTAGGATGTGGCTCTTTAGAATCACTATGACCAGGTTTATTAGAATTTGGGTTAAAATTTGGATTAAAATAACTTGTCGCATTATCAAGCAAAAGTAAAATTTTTCAATTTTCAAATCGAAGTTGCTGGTCAAGATCTTTTAACCACTCTCCGTATATGTCACTTTTCATCCATGCTTTTAAATTAGAGCAATATGTTACAGGTAATATAGCATGGTTTATACCAGATAATGCCCGTGGTTCAATTGAAGATCCTATTACAAGAGGCTTTATTTTTTCAGTACCAGTTGTGTTGCATGCTAAAAGAATAGAAATACGAGTACGATCCTGAATTTATTAACAAAATTGAAAAATTTACTTAGATAATACTATAGAAATGAGTATTAATAATCTAAACCTTTAAACCTAAATTTTATAATATCGAGTTTATCGATCGATCCCGGACACCTTATCAAGAACATACCTATTTATAAAATACTTATTAATTGATATTTATTATTTGGGATGGTTACGTTCTTGATAAGGTGTCCGAAATTGATTGATAAATTCGATTAATAGAATAACTAAAACTACTTTCTTTTTTCCATCCTGGACGAGATTGAGAAGCCAACGTTTAATTTGGTGCCAAGCGGAAAAACAATCCTGTTTCATCTGCATTAAATACGTCCTTCAATGCATATTCTTGAATAACATTTTGTAAATTTCATCGGAATTCTGGAAGATCGTTGGTTGACACACTGCCGGCTTCTCCATATAATTGAAAATTTCGCAAGCCATTCTGTTTTTTAAATTGTCTTATCCAACCGTTAGAAAATTTCAGCTCATTATCAGGTAATGAAAGAGCTTTAACAAAATAAGCGGCCTTTTTCTTAATGATTTCTTCAGTCAAAAATAACCCATTACTATAGTATATAGTACTAGTAATAATCAATCCTAAAAATGTAACCATAAATTTGTACTATATCAAAGATTAAGCTAATAAAAACCAACTGGCATTGTCGCCAAAGTTCAAAAAAAAAAAAAAAAAAAAAAATTCAATAAGTATAAAAATAAATTATTTGCACTGCATATTGAGTTGAGTAATAGAGAATTAAAATAAATTAAAGCTTAGTAAGATATTAAGTATTTTTATTTTATTTTATAGAAACAATTCAAAAATATATTACAAAATCTGATAAATTTAAATTCTTTAATTTGAAAATCAATTAAATATTCTAATTCTATTAGTTAGTGAAAATTAAATTTTAAGTATAAATATTCTTTGTTTGTAAAATTAGCAATTAAATTATTATTAATATCAACTTTGTTAGCTTGGTTACAGTTTTAATTTATTTATAGCAAATTGTATGCTAGATTAGATAATAATAAAGTTAAAAAAATTAGTTGCTGTATCTCAAAATCTTAGAATTCAAAAAAATATTGTAAAGAATAATTAGTTTAATAAATTATAATTAAAAATTTAATTTTAATATTAAAGTTTATTATATTAAAAAATTATTATATTTATTAATAATATATTTTTTAATAAAAAACATATAAAATGGTTTAAAACATGTTTTAAAACATGTTTTAAAACACAAAAAAATAAAAAACTTGTTTTTTGCTATCCCTATCATTAATATTAAAAAAAAAAAAAAAATACTTTTTTTTGAAAAATTCTGTATTTTCTTACTTAAAACTCTCTTAATGATTTTAACTCTTGGTTTGAAACTTACTTTCTATTTTATAGTCAACAATTCTCTTTCAATATTGATAAAGAAAAAGTTTGCACCTCTCTTAGAATCCAATTCTGACAACATTTTATTCTTTAATTATTTAAACACCATCCTGAATCTTATACATTCCAAAAGCCTAACTCATTTTATAAACAACATGAAAAAACATAATGAGTTGCTAATTTTTATTGTCTTATTTGTGAAAACAAGTCATGTTAATATCTTGATGACAAAAAATTTTATGGCAGCACCAAGCTCTTCAATAACATTCTAAGCAAATCCTGCTTATCATCTCCTCTTCAAAATGATGAAATATAAATTTACCCAACTTTTAATACTACATTATTTTATAAAAACAAAGAATATACTGCCTTACTTGATTAACCTATCTCTACCAAAGCTTTGGATAAATTAGCTGACCAAGCTGAAAACTTTTTGTATGCACATAAAATAAAGTCAAAACTAACTCAAAATACTGTAATTACTAGTTTTATTGTTATCTCTCTTTATACTATCAAACTGCTACTAAAAATCACAATATACAGTCTTTGTCTAAGGAGAAGGCAATCAATCTTCTTACAAAAACATCATTGATACCAAATTTCTCACCCAAATTATCACCTATTTTGATGTTATCAAAAATCAAAAATCTACTTATCTACAAATTATTAAATATTTTAATGATATTGTTTACTTAGCAGCTGAAAAATTTTTAGCAAAAAAATTCAATCTTAACTTTCAACTAGTTTTAATCTTAACTCATTTTTTTTACAATCTTTTTTTTAAATTCTTTGTTTTCTACAATTAACATCAAAGCAGCTATCACCTTATTAAAAAATACAACCTTTGTAGTTAATAAGAAGAATGATATAAGTAGGCAGGTAGGCAAGCTTATTTATGTAAAAGGCCAAAATAATGATGATCAGACCCAATATACAGAGTAGACTATGGTACCTTGCACAGCTGTAAGAGCTGAACATACAGTGATTGATCCTATAGAAAACAATTTTAAAAAATCATTTACAACATTTTTATCTTCTATGATCTTTACACATGCTTTAACAAAATTTTTCTTTATTACTATTTACTATTTCTTTTATACAGTCAAACTATTCAAATCTTAATTCAACATATTGACAAATATAACAACAACAAAACTGTATCTAGTATTATATTTTTCATTAATTTATCTTTTTTTTTTTTTCAGTATTAAGATGACCTCTTTGGTCTGAGCTTTTTATTAATACTTATAGCGGGTACATGTTTTATATAGACATATCTATAATGAACTATTAGACAAGTGTACAACTGGCTACACATGTAACTTTTCTA